GTTAACATATTTTAAGAGAGCATTCAAGGTGAAGTGGCCCATTAACACCTCTCCAGTGTGGGCGGAAAGAAGGGGGAGTTAAGGATGCTATTAAAGTAGTTTTAGTATTTCAAATCAGAAAATGAGGTTGTGTCTGAGATTTTTTCCCCCCATTCAGGTACAATTGTAGTTAAGTGAATTGTTTCTTCAACAGACTGGAAGAAGGCTGAGGTTGTTTGACTGCAGATATAAAGGAGAGTCTCTGTTATAGTCTATATCATATTGAATTTTGGGATTCATGTTTAAGCTCTCCATGCTGTAACAATAATTTATTATTAATAAAAGTATTATTAATATGATTTGTATTACAGTTGCTTCTACGGGCCCCAACTGCGATTTTACATATTTGTATTTATTTTGTATAAGTTGCCCATCGTAGTCGCATCTAGGTTCATCAAATCTTTAAGATCAAGCATTTCTAATTAAGAGTATTCTCTAACATCAAATATACTGCTACTGTCTGGTTTTAATAGGGACATCCATCTGTCAGTGATCACTTCATAATTGCTATGTAATTATTTTTCCAAAAGCCTGGTTAATTAAATAGGCCTATCTCTGTGCCCAAAAGGCCACCAGACTCTAGCTCTGGTGAGCTGCCAGAGAAAGAGCAAATTCTCCAGGCAAAGAGCCTCTCGGAGAATGACTTGTTTCCAATCCTAGAGAGTTTTATCCCAGGAACTGTCAGTAGTAGTACCACAGTCAAAGGAGCTATGCCAGTTTACACCAGCTGTGGATCTGGCCCAATGAGTTTATATTAAATGACACCATACATTTATACTGAAGCAACACTTCTAGTTACTGAAGGTAGATTGGGAATCTGCTGCTAGAATTATTGTTCTGATGCAGAGTTCAATAAAAGGACTGAATGTGCTTCTTTATAGTATTGGTGTGATTCCAAAATTATTTAGAATTACATTTATTTTAAACCTGAAGTTTTTTGAAAACTATTTGATATAGATCATCTGTCACTTTAGATCTGTCACTAAAATATTTTCACAAAAGCAAAAGCTAGTGATACTCCAGTTTTGGAGACTGACTAGTTAAGTCTAGAGCAACCAAACAAAAAAACACATGATGAAAATTAAAGTAAGGGTATTTTCTTTGAAACAGACTTGTTCAAAAGATGTTATGAATGACTGAAGCTGTAAAGAAGTATTAAACATTAAGAAAAGTTCAATGCTTTAAAAAGAATTCTACAGTTGCTGACTTACCACATTACAATAAATATTAGTTTTGGTTTATATACATTTGCAGGATATTGTTGCTATGAGTCAGAAGAAACTTAGTCTAAAACATAAAAAGTGCAAGACTATATTAGATTTTTTCTAATTGTTCCTCAATTATTGTAGCCATATCTTCTGGTAGTCAGAGGTTTCGAGTCACCCCAAGCATGGAGTTACATCCTAGTCATTGATGGATCTATGAACTTGTCCAGCATTTTTTAACCCAGTTATACTTTTGGCCATCACAACATAACCTGTGGAACTCATTGCCATGGGAATTGTGCATTGTGTAAAAAAGTATTTCCTCTTGTTTGTATTAAATCTGCTACCTATTAATTTCATTGGGTGACCCTTGGTTTTCGTATTGTGTGATGTATAAATAAGGCTTCTCTATTCACTTTTTCTATACCATTTATGATTCTATAGAGCTCTGTCATAGCCCCCTTAGTTGTCTCTTTTCTAAACTGAACAGCCCTTATCTTTTAGTCTCTCCTCATATGGAAGCCATTCTATTCCCTCGATCATTTTTTTACCCTGTCTGAACCTTTTCCAGTTCCACTGTATTCTTTTTGAGATGGGGCGACTGGAACTGGACACAGTATTCGAGGTGTGGGCACAGCATGGATTTATATTGCACTCTCCATCTTCAAAGCTCTTTAAAAACATTAACTAATATTCATTCCATCCTTGTGTAATAGGTGAGTATGTTGTGATCCCCATTTTGCAGAGGCAGAAACTTTGGCCTCTGTAGATTTCTTCTACAATTACAAAGAGAACCGAATGTACCAAATTTTAGACCTCATGAATTCCTGGCTCCCATTAGTCCCAGACTAGGCAGCTGGCAGCAGACATTAGATTGGTGACACAGTCTCTGTTCCACATAATAGTGCTAGAGTCCTGAAAAAAGAAATGTTGGAACTCACTTATAAGTGAGAGAACCAGAAGTACTAGAACAGCCTTTTGGCTCCCCCAAACAGTGTCAACTCTCCAAAAAAGTGCCAAAATGGTGTTCCAGGACAATCCAACACAACTCGGGCCCTGCTCCTTCCTAGATGTCCACAGCCTGTCTTTGGGGCTCTAGACCCCTTGTTTCCTACCCCACACAAACCAGCAGCAGCAATTGCTTTTCAAGGCTTCAGATCTCCTCACGACTACTCTCCCTCCCACCATCCAGCAGCAGTTTTTGAGGATTCTGGGTTATTATTTCATCCATTCCACCTTTGCAACTCTGACAGCAGCTTCTCTCTGGGACTCCAGGTTCACTGTATCCTTTCCGCCTGCAACTAGCCCCCAACCTATTTTCCTGCAGTCAGCAATGGCTTCCCTTTGGAGCTGTAGACAATGTTTTCACCCCTCAGCTCATAGAGAGCCAGTACTATATCTCTTTCCCCACAACGGACAACAACTTATCTCTCCAGCTTCTGGCTCCCTCTTTCCTTTCCTCTCCCTCCCCTCCCCCCAGCTGCTAGAGTGGTTCTTCTTCCAGGCTATGGACGGTTGACTGCTGGCCTCTGTTCCAAGCTCCAGCAGCCACTAAGCTGTGCAGGCTTCTCTTCAGGGTTCTGGAATGTGGTAGGGTGGATGACAAACAGGGGGCTGAGAGATACTTACTCCAGGGCTTTGTACAAGGATGAGACCTATCAGGCTGGGGCATCCACTTGCCTTCCAGCTACTTGGCTCAGCACCATACCAGCTTGGAAGCAGTCTTGTTTATCATGCAGCCAGCCTGCCTACTCCAATTGCTAAGCCCCACATAAAAAAAAGGAGCATGGTGAAGAGAAGACGGGATGGGTTTGTTTTGTAGAGGAGGTGGGTAGGGAGCAAAGGAATGTTTTTTTGTGGGGAGGGGAGAAGACCAAAAATGGAAGTTGAGGAGAGAAAAGGAAGGATTGATTAATGGATGGATGGATGGATGTCAGGAGGTGAGAAGGAATAGATTTGATTTGTGGGAAGAGAAGGAATGGATTTGGATGGACACATGCATGTAGAGAGTGTTTGTCAAATAACTTTGGTAGAATTGTATGGGCTGCCTGAGCCCACAGGCTCCCAGCATGGTGCTCAGACCAATCGGTCACAGGTCTCTCGTTTTGGCCTAAAAAGCCTCTGGGATAATATGTAGAAAAACTCAGTTTTGCCAACTCTCGTGATTTTATTGTAAGTCCTGTGCCATTTTGGTGCTGTTCTTGAAGCCCCGGGTCCCAGGATACAGTGATTACCTGACTACCTCAGCTTTTATCTGGAAAAAAACCAAAACATTAATATTGAGCCATTATGGTTGTGGAGAAAAGCTTGAAAATGGGACCTAAATGTACCCTGGCAAACCAGAAGGCAAACAAAATGTACTTAACATTTATAATTTTTTTTAAATCTCAGCACTTTTAAACCAATCTCATGATTTTTGGGTGGCTTGGCTCACTTTTGAATGTGTTTTGCGAAACTGTTCAGTTAGACCTGCCCGTTGGCTTTGTTCCATGAAATCCACAGCCCACTGAAACCTCCCACTTCCCCTCAGAACCACCTGCTTCTTCTCTAGATGAAGCTTGTTGGATGAATAAATGTCACCAGCTTTTCTTCTGTCCCTCAGCCCTTTCCATGGCTGCTCTCACGTGGGGAAGAAGAGACAGCTCTCTTCCACAGAAAGGTGCTGCGAGAAAGGGGAAGGGCTGGCAAGATTCAGTCAGCACTATTAGAGTTGAGGGTTGAGGTGAGCAAGTGTCCATGTAGGAGACATCTGTGAATCGGTTTCACTGCATGCAGATCTCCCCAGGAGCGCTCTTTCCTCTTACACCTTCTCAGCAGCCAGCTCAGGAAGCTTGTGTTGCTGCATCTCAAATTCTTTCCCTGCAAGGCAGATGTCTTTGGGCAGTGACAGGGAAGCAAGTGCTTACCCCTTCGCTTTTACCCCATTTTTATGCTGCTGCTGTTTGAAGCAGTAGCCATGTGTCTTTCAGCATGGCAAGGAGGGGAGTGGCACGTGTCGAGAAGGAAAGTAGATGGCTCGGCGAGAGATGTAACTATGATTTAAAATTTAAGATAAAGGGTAATATGGAACAAATTGGTATCGTACTCGTTCTGATGCTCATATTTTATTAAGTGAGATGCCAGCCAAGTTTCAGCCGTAAAGACAGGTTGTAAGGCCTGATTCTTGGATTTCTTGGTATGGGAATTTAAACATGATTCTTTCCATGTACATTAGTAAAAATGAAAAATAGACATTTAAAAACATTCTTGCTATTCCTCTTTAAGATTCTCTGTATTCTGAGTAGATGAAGGATATTGCTAGTTATTGTTAAATTATTTTGTGTCAATTCATGTGGCTCTTGAATCTCATGCTTGAAGGAGACAGAAAAGAGACAATAGAAATATAATGAATGTTTACACAAAGCAAAAGAAGTATCTCTCAAGTGTAGCCTGCTTTATCTAATATGGATTTGTAGATTATACCAGAATCTATCAGAAACCCTGAGTTTTAGGATTTCCAAGTAGACTGTAAGAGTTGGTCACACATTGGATACCTGGCCTGGCTGGTAGGAAGAGTGTTTATTTTTATTTAATCTTCGGTAAATAAAAAGATGGGCTCATGAAAGAAGCTGCCACAAATATTTATTTTGTCACATTTTATGCACAGTTGTTTGCAGGCATATCAGAATGTATTTTGCTATGTTTTGTTTAAATTTATTTTAATCCAATTTCATTGTTTGTCTAAGGTATATAATTCAGTTGCATTTTTTTAAACAGATGTGGGAAGAGGCCATTGCCTTGGGCAAAGAACTGGCAGAACAGTATGAAAATGAAATGTTTGATTATGAACAACTCAGTGAACTGCTGGTAGGTTTCTTTTCCATTCAGTTTAAATTAACATAGATATTATCAAACAGTTTCTCTGGAATTTCACTTTTTAAGTTTTTTTAAATAATATTGAAAACTCCTCTTACCTTGGTTATGCTAGCCCAGTGGGAAGAATGATTTACTTGCCCTCTTGGGGCAGATGTTGGCTGGCAGATTAATTAAATGACCATCTTTGGAAGTGACTTAAGTGGAAAATGTTTGTTTTTTATGTTGGAACGAAGATAATCTGTTTACAGTTTGCTTGTGGTCAGAAGGAAATATGGGATTTTTTAAAAAAATAGATGGATGTATCTTGGCAAGATGTGTACATGAAAATTTCCTATCATTCCTGGAGCAATTAAAGATAGAGAGAGCTCAGACTTTGATAGAATTATTTTAAAATTTTTAAACTGTATGTAAATACAGTTATTTCAAAGGGCATCTGCATAATAACTTTACCAATAACTGTGGAGCTTGTAGCTTGTTAGTAATAATGAGGTGTACTGAACAGAGTATAGGACTGGAAACCAGGAAATTGAATTTTTTTTCATCTCTGTCACTGACCTACTATTTAGCCTTCAGAAAGTATTGTTTTACTTTCAAAATTGACTAAGGAATGCTAGATATTTTAATTATTACTGGGCACACTAAGGCATGACTTGAAAAGATACTGGGGAAGAGAAGGCAGGCACTGATCCATTACAAAAAGTTGTGAATCACTATTGTTCTAGAGGTATATGTTGATTTTTCCTTAGCACCAGCAATACCTAAATTCTGGATCGTGAATGGGCACTTTCTAATTCAGCTTCTCATCAATCCCATTTTTAAAAAAATCTTTGTAATTTTTAAATAATAATAATTTCTTCTCCTGAAAACTTGCTGGTCTGCGGCAATAACTGCAGGAGATACCATTAAGTGTTCCAGACTGTAGCCATACTCTGAATTCTTGATCTCATTGTGAATCCCAACAAAAGGTCGAGGATTTCTTCTTGGAATCTCATCCAACAGGGAATCCATTTATGTGCAGACCTCAGGAATAGTTCATATCCATAAAGAGACTGACTGTCCAGATGTTACATTCTCTTCCTGGGGAATGCAGTTTCTTGGCTTTGTTGCTTGCCTTGAGATTATATCCTTGGCCTGCTTCTGGGTTCAGATCCATCAGATGTTCCTTCTGTGCATCATATCCAGCAAAGAATAGAGCATGGCCCAAGTGATATGTAGTCCCTTGCATATATAACTTTTTGTAACCATTCCACAGATGATTTTCTCTCATATGGTGATCCCGCAACTCAACCCTGGTTAAGAGAACTTGCATGTCTGATGTCCATTTAACTGTTCTAACTACACTTGTGAGTCTGTCTGGTTAGAAGATGCATGTGGAGATGGTAGGATGGCTCCAGGGAAATGGCCATATAAAAGTGATAAAGCTCTATTGAAAAGTTCTAGACTCAAGAGCTATATGAAGGACACTTCTACTGCTACTTACATTTATGATGTGTGGAACAGGTCCTAGCAGGAAACCAGTTCTAGTCTCGTCTGACAGTTGAGCAGCAGTTGTCTACGTGAATGTGAAGGGGTTCCACTCACTGCAGGAGTCCCTATTGTGGCTAGGTCTGACAATTAGCTCTCGCCCTGTCTGGCACCCCATTCTGCTGGGTGCTTGATCTGTGGCCCCTCTCTCTTTGGGACTTGGGATACTCCGTCTTTGTGACTTGACCCTTGGGCCAGGTAACTATACAGTTTCCTATCACTGGAAGACTGTTTTCCGGTGTTCCAGTTATCCAGGTCCTGTGCCACTTCCCCTCTGGTTGGTAGGGGAACCTGGGTCCACCAGCTATTCTGGGTTCCAGAGCAGGGACCCTATGACTAGCAACCTATTTCTATGATTCTGTATATAGATTCTATCATCCACTGGCTGGCTAATTACTGTCAATCTTTAAATTGGATCATACAGATGAAACCAGGGAATAATTTTTAAATAATAGCTTAGTATTTATAAGTATTCAGATATAAAATAATTTCATTAAGGGAAACATGCATATACCTTTATCAGGAAAAGTTATTACATAAGATTTTCATCTCCAATTTAAAGCTCAAATACAAATTTTTTTGAAATTACAAAATCATTTGAAACAGTGAATCAGCTGCAAGTAGTCTGCTGTCTGTCTAGATTTCAAAGAGAGATTTGGACAAATCCTCTTCAGTAGGAGGCATGCTAGATCTCATTCAGTACAAGAGTATCCATAACATGGACTTTGATAGGCAGCATATTTCTGCTCTCCAATCCTTGTAGCTAATGTATCTTTGCCCTCTTCTTGGCAAGGCAGGTTTAGATTTAGCTGGTCTCTCTTGTTTATACCAATCCAACTGTGTACCTCACACTGTCTAAACGTGATTTTAGTGGTAGCTGACCATCTGTGAAAACTGAGCTAATTCTCCAACCTGTTAAGATTGTTCTGCAATGCTTTGGTGTTGGGAGTCCCAAGTTCAAATCTTTGCTCCACCACAGACTTACTTACTTTGTTATCTTGTTATCTTGCGCAGGTCACTTAGTGTCTCTCTGCCTCAGTTTCCCCTCTCTACGATGGGGATAAAGCACTTCCTTCCTCACAGCAGTGTGAGGATAAATATACATTAAAAGGTTATGAGGTGCTCAAATACCAAGGTAATGGGGACCACAGAAGTACCTTAGATAGATATATAGAAAGATACAGGTTGCCTAAGTGGGCAGCTAAGGATCCCTCCAGTGGCACAGAGGCAACATACCCAGCCCCACAACCTTGCTGCCCTCAGAGAAGATGGCATGCCTACTGTGCTTCAAGAATTCCCAGACCAGTCCCATGATCTTATTCTCCTTAGGCAGCTCTAACTTATGGCAGGGTTCACAGGGGAATAAAGGTAACATACAGCCACTCCCCCGCCCCCCCTCCCCCGAGCATAGTTTGGTTGTGCACCCAGCACAGCTTGGCAGTCCTGAGGTTTAGATTCCTAATGTTTGTTTAAGGAAGAGATGAGACAATTCAAGTAACGTCCCTACCATCTTCATCTACTGGGAGGCGTTTTAAAGCTGGATCCTGCAGCACCTCTGAATACTTTTTATGTAGAGGCGGCTGTTCAAATGTTAAACATTGGACTTCAGGACATTAGCAAAATGATATTTTTACTGCCAGTTGCAAAATTCACTTTTTCAAAGATGAACTGAGCTGTACTTGGTAAGTTGATGTCTTACAAACCAATTGCTCTCTGCCATATGGTTGCAGTAATAAAGCTACCCCAGATACAAAATGTTGTAGACTGAAATTATGTTAATGAGTACATATTGTAAAGTTATAAATTCTGTTCTCTTACCTCACATCTCATTCTCATCATTTGAGCTTACCGCCGATTTTAAAAGAAATAAGAATCTGAGTTCAAATACAGATCAGTGGAGAGGCCTAATAGTCCGTGGCACATTTGTCTATGTCATGGGGTTCACAAACTTTTCAATTTTATGGATGGCATCTTAAAATAGAGTCCTGTTGTCCACCTTCACAATTGCATAACATTCCTGTTGCAACTACAGCAATTGTTCACATTGAAGAGTAATGCTAGGAACATATTTATATAATGTTAGCATATTTTAATGCAATTTATCAGCTGGAAAAAAGGAGGTGAGCCAGTACCTTTAGACCAGCTAGCTCAGCAGCAAGTGCTTCCAGGATTCAATTCGAAGCCTTTAATCTATATCACTGAATCCAATATGGAATTTGGTACTTTTGGTCAGGTCTACTCAAGAAATTTCCAGAGGGTAGGACAACAGGGTTGTTGCAAGTCAGAATTCAAGTGCTTTGGAAAATTCCTTTGGGAAAGTATGTATTTATTCTGTCCATAGTCTATATCCATTAACACAAAAGGTCACCCTAACCAGCAAGAATATGGAGTTTGGCATTTTCAGATATCAGTAGATAACTGGTCGAAAGATGAATAAAGACAAAACACATTTAATAGAGAATGATGTGAACAGAAAAACTCTTACACTGGATTCTCATCTTCAGGTGAAATCTAGAAGGAAACATTCAAGTAAAGTATTGTTGCTGTTTACTTTACAGAAAAAGCAAGCACAGTTCTATGAAAACATTGTGAAAGTGATAAGACCTAAACCAGATTATTTTGCTGTTGGATACTATGGCCAAGGATTCCCTACATTTCTACGGGTAAATATTCTTTTTTTTTCTTTTTCTTTCATGAGTTACAGGTAGATCACTTGGTTTGAACAGATTTTCCTTTCATGCTGGGGAGGATTTGTAAATAGGAATCTTTTTGTAGTTATACGAAACAGATGTCAATTTTCTTTTCACTTATGACTTGGCAGAATTGTAGTAAAAGGAGCTATTCTTTACAGCACATCCAGTGTTTTATAAATCGTAAGTTTCGTATATAATTGGAAATGAACATGTATAACCAGTATGGTTTAAATCTAAATGATTGTCTTGCTTTTGACTGTTCCTTTTATACAGAGTGCAAATAATGATGGTCAGAGAGAACAGTTTTTTGCTAGTATAATATTAGAAGGTTGTGAAGGGCCGATAAATTTAATAATTTATATTTGTCTGAACTATAGTTACAGTTTAAAATATCTAATAAAAGTATTTTCTAATTGTTTGTGATGTTCTTACATTTTGTCATAGTTCATTTGCAAATTAAAGATATTCTTAACAAAAAATTGGTAGACGATTTAGGAATAGAAAGTAGCTGCATTGTAATTATTGTATGAAAATATAATACTTAGCTAATTGGGGATTACAGCAGGCAGATATTTCCTTTTCTAATTGTTAGAATCATAAATTATGAAAATGGTAAGCTCTCACGAGGGCATGCAATCCTTACACCTGGTAAGTGCAGGATTTGTCTTTACCATATATTTTCTAATGCTTTGTCTATGTAGTTGTAAATGCTAGTTTTGCTTATTCTGTTCTTGTGAGACATCGGCTGATCTGCAATTCTGAAACTTGACTGCTTCCCCAGAAAATAATTGGATAAACATTTTATAAAATTCCTGAAAAACAAAACACAGGGAATGGTGAGAATAATAGTAATCTTCAAAACTAGAAAATAGAAGGAACCATAAAGTTGCTGGTAACTTCTTAGAGAGTATTATGTCTGTGATTTACTATTAATCTTGCCACATGTACATTAACATACAACAGAGTGCATATTTCCCATTATGGACAGAGTTATCTGTCAACGATTTAGAGCTGTTAAATACAACTTTGTGGAAATGATTCTACTGGGATCATAAGAGAGGCAGCAAGCTGTCTTGAATATCTGAGTACAATAGCAGTATATTCGCACATTCCAGCATCTCAGCCAGTAATACATTTTCATTCAGGAAATGTGCATAGAATACAACACACAATTTTCCAGTTGAAGCACTGTGTTATCTGTATATTCAAAGGGATATAATGGAAAGTAAGAATAGAGAGTTAACCTAGGTTTACTAATATTGGACTGATCTTTTTCTTCACAATTGAATAATTGTGTTATTGTAGTAACATGTTTATTATGCTTCAAAAATTGTCAAGGGTCAGCGTGTCATATATATATTAGCAATAAAAACTGTAATGTTTGGCTATTAAGTGCATTGCTGACAGAAGGTTCTCAGTACAAGATTTTCCCTGTATTTCAGGGGGTTTTTTTTGAGTTATATGAATGATTCACTTTTAATGTATCTATCTTCATATTTCTGTTCTCAAATAGAGATAAATATTTTTCAGCTCTTGTCAATTTCAAGGAGCAGCATTGCAGAACCAAACTTAATTAACTATTATAGAAATTATTAGCATTATGCTCCACAAATCATTGTTTTTCTATTAGGTTGTTAATAACTTTTTTACAAGTCTTACTTCTAAGATGAATAATAAGATTAAAACATTTTCAGATTAGATTGTTACTTTCATATCAAAATTCATTTTAATGTGTCTTGATTGCTTTAGTACTATAAACTTATGTGCTTCCTATTATACAACATATTTATCTTTAGAATTAAGCATATTTGTTGAATGCATAACTCAGATTTATGTTAACTGTTTATCAAACCGTTAGGCATCTCATGAGCCGTGCGTAATGACGGCCCACCCCACAGGTCCTCAGCACGCGTTCGTTACATGGGTCCCAGGCACCCAGGGCCCCAACGAGCAGAGCGTCGATGTGCACCTCGTAGCCCTTAGTCCACAGGGTGTCAGCCAGGGGGAGTACTTTTCGAGCTTGCGGGCTCGGGCTTCACGGAAGGCCGGGGACCTGTTCTCGAATGGAATCGTGACGTCGACTAGGATGATCTTTTTTCCAGCCTCATCCATGATGACGATGTCTGGGCGCAGCGGGCTGTCGGTGCCGGGGATGGCGCGGTTGACAGTGACCTCTCCCAGGCGCGGGTCGATGGCCTTCACTGGGCGGTCCTGGACGGCGTTGTGGCGCAGCTGCCAGGCTCTGGCATGGGGCTTGCAGCAGCATAGGACGTGGGGCAGGGTTTCGGTGACGTACCCGCACTTCCTGCAGCGTTTGTCCCGGTTCCCGTGGTGGATGGCACCGTTGAGGGGGACGCAATTCAGCCGGGCGCGGTGTATGAACCGCCAGTCGGCGAACCGGGTGAAGCTGCCCGTGGGGAGGAAGTGGTTGCTGGAGTCCCACTTGCTGGTTACTTCGAAGGCCTTGCCCTGGTCTGTTTTTTTCTTCAGGGTGTCCACGTAGAGCGCGTGGACGGCGGCCTTCAGGAATCTCTCCAGCACGCCTCTGGCTCCGGGGGTGATGATGATGTTGTCCTCCATTCTGATCCACAGTATCAGGACTCCCAGCTCCTGCCGTTCCTCGCTCCATTCCCAGCGGCAGCCCAGTCGCTTCCCCAGCCAGCGCGTGGCATTGCGGGCGCGGCACCACAGTGAGGCGAGATTGCCCCTGTCCTGGGCAAAGTCGCCGTCCAGGGAGCCGCTCAGGAAGGTGGCCACATCTCGGTCGGAGGGAGGTCTGCCGATTCGTTTCTCGGTGGCGGCCTGCAGGGCGGTCGTTGCAACGTTCTTCACCTTGGTGTCCGGGCATGTCAGGAGGTGGAAGGGGTGCGTGACGACCGCGATGTCACAGAGGTCTCCCATACGGTGGATGCCGGCACCACCGTGCCTGTGCTTGATGTATACGAGCTTGTTGCTGGCTCTCCGGGGCAGGGACAGCCATTTCTTGACCAGCTGCTGGATGGTGTTGTCCGCCTTGTTGAGGGGCACCTTTGCCACGGCGGATCCTCTCAGGACGAAGGCGATGCGGGGGATCAGGAAGGTGTTGAGGGCGTTGATCTTCTGCCACGGCGCCAGCAGGGATGTGTCAATCTTGGCGGCGTCCTGCAGGATCTCCTGGATGGTGTCCTCGGGGGTCTACCGGACTCGGAAGCCTGTCGGCGTGCCGAGGTGCTGGTACGCCTGCCCCTCCGCCAGGGGAACGGCGGACTCGCCCTGGATGAGGAACTCCGTCATCAGTACAGAGTCCCTCTTGCTCCCGTCAACATGGAGGGATGCGCACTTCTTGGCATTGAAGCGGAGTTCCGTCCAGTCCGCGGCTCTCCCGATGGTGTCAAGCATGACCTGGAGCCTCTCGGGGTCGTCTGCGATCAGGACCAGGTCATCCGCGTAGGCTAAGACGTTCACCCTCTCACCGTGCCGGTCGAAGCCGTCGGTGCCGTCGGAGATCGCCCGCAGGAGCGGCTCCATGGCGAGGTTGAAGACGATGGGGCTGAGGGGGCAACCCTGCTTCACGCCTCTGTGGATCGGTATCTCAGTGGTCTCCCCTTCTACCGAGCGGATGGTGGTGCTGCAGCCCTCATATAGTTCCCGGATCAGGTGGAGAAAGGTTTCCGGCATCCCAAACTCCTGTAGTGTGTCGAAGATGTGGTGGTGGGGGATGGACCCGAAGGCATTGGCCAGGTCGAGCCACGCTACCGCGCACTGCTTCCACATTCTCCTGGTCGTCTGGATGACGGTCTGTCATTCAGTGACACACAGCAATAAGTAGAAATGACCTAGCATTAAAATAATCATATAGAAGCTATTTTTTTCAGATAACTGTAAAATAGTAATAGAAACCTGTTGAGAGAACTAAAATGAAATCCACAGTATCTCAATCTTTTTAGAAAAGCTAAATTAGATATATCGTCTTTGGATGGTATATGAAGTGCTGTGCATTAGAGTTGAGATATTATGTGATAAGATGTCATTTTATAACTACAGACTATATGGAACTGTCCTGCTAGATACTCCTCTGATACTCCTTGAATACTCATTTAATCAGAATTGTTTTTGTAAATGTGAAGACATAATAGCTAAATTCTGCTCTGATACACCATGCAAACACCATTAACTTCAGAGGATGATTTGTGGGTGCAATGGAGAGGATTATTTGGGCCAATATTTTTTCAGATATTCAGGAAGGTGGCTTATGCACTTAAAGTTAAGAGGTGTTCAAGAGCTATCCTGAATTGAGGCCTTAATTATTTGCCATAGGCCCTTATTTAAACACACTAAAGTTCAATTAACTTCAATAGGATTTAAGCCTGTGCTTGAAGTTCAATATGCGCTTAATGGCTTTACTGAATATGGATTAATTTAAGCTTTATGGATTAATTAATGCTTCAGCGTTGTGCTAAATTTTGACCATAATACCTGTAATTTGTTGTGTGTCATTCTGCTGTAAACTAGATGTTTTATATTTCTACCACTAGTTAGTAGCATCCAGATACACTTTCAGAGGACTAGGATATTATTTTATTGTGAATTTACTGTGAATATTACTATATGAATTTCACTTTAATTTGTTTCCAGAACAAAGTGTTCATTTACCGTGGGAAGGAATATGAACGTCGTGAAGACTTTGAAGCAAGGTTATTAACCCAATTTCCAAATGCCGAAAAAATGAAGACAACATCTCCACCAGGCGATGATATTAAAAACTCCCCTGGTCAGTGTATCCTTGGAAATTGCTACATGCATATGCTCATGTAATCTAATCAGACTGAGAATGTGTTATTGTTGCTAAAATTGCACAGTAGTTCACTGCACTTTTTATGTTTTTATTGATATATTACTGTCTTTATGCCAATTTTCAAGGGACATTTCTCAGTTGAACCATCTCTCCTGCATAATTTAAACTCTGTCTCTTTTCAATTCTTAACCTGTCAATTCAGATATTCAGTGTTTTACTGTAAAACCAAAACTTGATTTACCACCCAAATTTCACAAGCCAGTATCAGAGCAAATTGTAAGGTGAGTTTTCTGTTTTTTCTACCTTCTTACCAATCTGACTGAATGGCCTGCAGACAACACTTAAATTAACATAAACCCTTGTAAACTGTAATTCTTCTTCTTTGTTGTTATAGTGTGTGTTTGATTTTAAAAATAAGTTTCTATAAGCAACCACTGAAGATAACACAGACACAACACTTGAGGAGGTGAGCCCAAGCTCATATCCCAGTGGGGTTCTGATCCATAACTGGGACTGTTAGGCAGTACCACAAACCAAAATATAAATAATAATAAAAGTGACAGTAGAACCTTAGAGTTATGAACACCTTGGGAATGGAGGTTGTTCGTAATTCTGAAATGTTCGTAACTCTGAACAAAATGCTGTGGTTCTTTCAAAAGTTTACAACTGAACATTGACTTAATACAGGTTTGAAGCTTTACTGTACCGAAGAAAAATGCTGCTTTCCCTTTATTTTTTAGTAGTTTATGTTTAACACAGTACTGTACCGTATTTTGTTTTGTTTTGGGGTTTTTTTGTATCTGGTGCTTCCTGATTGCGTACTTCTGGTTCCAAATGAGGTTTGGTTGACTGGTCAGTTCATAACTCTGAGGTTCTACTGCAGTTACTTCACTTCTTTGGGCTGGCTCCATGCCTAAGTAGAGGACTGTGTTAGTTGCACATCACAGTACAGTGAATGATATGATACTGTAGCCAAGCAAGAACCAAGCAACCATTATATTCGCAGACATGACAAGAGCTGAAAGGAGAAAAGTAAAGTATGAATATTAAATAATATCATGCTGAATTTTCCATTTTACCTGGCTACTTATAGCTTAATGGCTACTGCAGCAAATGGTCAGACCACTTCCTCATGGCCCCAGCATCCTCTTTGCCCTTGCCTCAGGGCCTCAGCCTGCAAACCCCAGCAACCAGCCAGGAGCTGTCTGTCGCTCCCTCGGTTCCTGCGTGCAGCACTGCTCTGTCCTTGGTGCTGGCAATTCTTTCAGCCCTCCAGAGACGCAGTCCTTCCTCGCTGGGCCCCCCGCAAAGAACTGAACTCTGCCCTGCAACTCCCTTTTTATATGGGCCTGTTTGGCCCTTATTGACTGCTCCCTTCAGCCCTTGCTGTCCCCAGTGCAGTCTCCCTAGGGCTCCTTTTAACCCCTTTTCTGCCAGTGAGGGGCAGGCACCCCATCACACCCACTAACCGCCTCTTTTTGTCCTATGACTGCAGAAGTGTTAACAGGCCACTCTACCTTGAATGGTCTCTTACAATATGTGCTAACTTCTTATAATAAACAGTCTGTTCCACCTTTTATTTTGTTGTGATGCTGGTAGTTCCTTTCCCAGACCTGAAGAAGAGCTCTGTGTGGCTCGAAACCTTGTCTCTCTCACCAGCAGAGATGTTGGTCCAATACAAGATAAGAACATTATGTATCTTATCTTGTATTGGACCAACGTCTGCTGGTCCAATGACCTCACCTACCTTGTCTTGCTAATATCTTGGGACCGACACGGCTACAATTACACTGTATCCATACATGCCTGCAGGCTCAAAGCCCTAGGGCAAACTGTGACTCTTCTTCCTTATTAACAGAGAAGTTCAGCAGTATTTTATTTAAATGATCTAACTACTAAACATGTTGTTAATACAAAATGTTTGCAGTTATGCGATCTGTTTGGTTTTTTTAATTCAGTTTCTATAGGGTGAATGAGGTCCAACGATTTGAGTATTCACGGCCTGTCCGAAAAGGAGAGAAAAACCCAGATAATGAATTTGCGGTAATTTTTTTTCTCTTTTGTGAATGCAGGATAGCTGTTATGTTTTGGTTTGTTGGTGGTTGGTTGATGTTTGTAACTGCAATAAAATGGGACTGAATTTATTATGAGTGCAATGAAAACTACATGTATCATGAATTTTGTTTTATAGCACTAAGAAAAATGAACAAAGCTGTTTTAGTCTGTTCAACACTTGACCACTTTGCAGGAGAAATACAAAACTGTCAGGCCTTAAAATGTAACCATTCTTCACTGAAAGCTGTCTTACCTTAAGGATCTCAGCCAGGCATCCTTTAAAATCAGTCTTTGCTACAGCAATACATATTTTACAAAGCCATATGGTTCACCATATGGTCAATAAAGCTCTCTCTCTCTCATCCCAGCCTGTGACCACCAAGTTGGTTACAACAAGCCACAAAATCAAGTGCTTTCCCCTTCCCTTCCCACCTTATTCATGGTATAGGGGGAAGAATAATACTAACAGTACTTTGTACTTAGGTATAATTTTTCAATTGTAAATCTCAATTTTCTTTAAAATAATAGGCGCCTTGTGCCTTTGAATATAGCTCAGTGGTTTGAGCATTGGCCTGCTAAACCCAGGGTCGTGAGTTCAGTCCTTGAGGGGGCCATTTGGGGATTTAGTTGGGGATTGGTCCTGCTTTGAGCAGGGGCTTGGACTAGATGACCTCCTGGGGTCCCTTACAACCCTTATATTCTATGATACTAGCTGAATAGGCTGGAATTGGTTTACTAGAGCAGAGAACTGTGAACAGCTTCCCCAGTTTCATTGTCCATTTCACCATTTGCTCCGAATACAGAGCTGCAATCTTATGTCTCCATACAAGCTAGCCAATTCTAATCTGCTGTGCTTTGAGGGGCTGGTGTGTTGTGGAACTCCAGATTGTCGTTGCAGGCAGAGGATACTCACTCAGGGTTTCCCCCCTACCAGGCCAGCCTAACCTGATTCACTTGACAAGCCCTGTGCCACAGCTGTCTGTTCTGCTACTCACAGTAAACTTGGCTGCTAATCAAAGTGATCCCAGATGAGATGGAAGAAAATGCTCCCATCATCAGTGGATGATGCTGGTGCAAAAACCAACAAGGATTTTTGGCGAGATAAAGTGACAATGCATCTTGATTTCCAATTAAAAAAATTAAAATAACTAAAACACTTAGGAGCTTAGGGCTGGATTTTTAAAGGCACGTAGGCACCTAATGTGATTTTCAAAAGCACCTAGGTGCTTAACTCTAGGCATCTGGTTGTTTTTGAAAATCCCACTAGGCACCTGAATACCTTTAAAAATCTGGCCCTTGTGTCCTATTGACTTTCAATGGGACTTAGGCTCCTAAGTGAGCTTGGGGCTAATAAAAGACAGCCATGCCAATATATTCCCCATTTAAAATGTGGAGGCAGGGCCAGATAAAACAAAATTAGGTAAAGTAACATTTTCATCATGACTTTAACATTTACAGACATGAGAGAGCAATAATTAAAACAATAATTTCTTTTTAAATTGAAGACAAAGAAGTTTTAAGATTAGGCTGCTTCTCCTTGCACTTAAACTCTCTGAGATTTTTGATTAAAAATACAGTCTGTAAAGCACTTTTTAAGGCACTAATGTGAGAACCCTAAAGGTTATACCTGGGAAACTTGTTTTCAGCTATATTTAAAATTGTCCAGTCAGAGAATGGAGTGGAGGATTTCAGTAGACAGATAAATTTGTTCCTGAAGTCTGTCATCCCACTTTGTTTAACGTGCTTTTCACATGCAAGACAGATTAGTTGGAAAATGACAGTTCAACAGAAGCAGGTGGAGCTTTTACATAATGTTACCCTTTAGTTAAAAGACCAATGTTTGACTGTTAAATAGCACATTAGCTAGCATATTGAGACCAATCTCGCCACAGACATAGCCCTGAAATACACATACAGATTCCATTTGCAATTTATTTTTTTTAGCTTTGTAATTTCTATACTGCTGCCGTTCTTCTTTCTGATAATGAATTTGTAGATCTTTGGTTAGGATAAAAGCTATCAATCTGCTACCATGCTATTTCTAACCTTTTTTATATTATATTTGCAGAATATGTGGATTGAGAGAACCATCTATGTGACAGCCTATAAATTACCAGGGATTTTAAGATGGTTTGAAGTCAAATCAGTTTTCATGGTAAGGACAAATCAGGATGAATTTACTGAGACTACTTAGAACTTTTTTTTCCCAGTTACTGAATATATGCAATGTATATAACTCTGCTTAACCTCAAAGTCTAATCAGTGGAACCATATGTAACCTACTAAAGGAATGGGGACTTACCTACCAACTTTTCTCATCAGGAATACTGTTTATTGACTAAGGTGAATGCGCAGATAGCAAAAGTAGTATTCTTCCATCACTGGTACAAAAATATGAATGGTGAATCGTATAAACCTCTAGGCTCTGATTCAGCAAGATTTTTCAGCACTTCTTACCTTTAAGCACAGGAGTATCCACCTTAAAATCAATGGGATTACTCGTTCATTGCTGTATAAGTAGACTTGGAAGGATTCGATTTTTATCATTAAGTGTCAATTTCACCGTAAATACACAAATCAGCAAAAAAGGATTTCCAGTTTTAATAATAAAAAAATACAGATAGGCAAAGTAAGAAAAGGATACTTGAGATCTCACTGAGTTTGATTTATGAATATTTATTTTGTACATTTTGACGTGAAGCTGACAATTTGTGTTTTAGCAGTTATAAACCTTTAACTTTTTGATTCTCAACATCTATTGTTGTTAAATATTGTCTGATTCCTCCTATTGTCTGACCTCCCTATCATTTCCCACAACTGAAAATTTAAATAAAAATTGAAAAATGCTTCAAACAAATGATGTTGCACAATTATGAAAATGTTAACTGATAAGAATTTTAAAAATACTTAAAAATAAATATAATATTATCTGTCAAAACTATTTAAAAAAAAATTCTGCTAAGGGCCCTAATTTGTAAAGACCACAAAAGTATTGCTTTTTAAAAGTAGGAATTGGATAATTTAACTGTAATTTATCTAAGGGAAGATAAAGTAAATTAAATTACTTGTGCTGACTAAATTTCTTTTGTAAATATCATTAGTGATTAAATGTTGTTTGAGTTCTCTCTGTTTTCTAAAGTTAGCTAAAATATGCCCTAAAAACTTCACCAAGAATTTTAACAAATGTGTACCTCCTTTTTCTAGTGCATAACTAAAATTGTTTACATAAAATATATCCATAAAATATCTTACATACTAAATTAGCTGTAATTTTTAAGTTGCAATGAAAACATTGTTACTTACTGGAGTTTTTAAATCTTCCTTGTGAGGTCTTTTTTTTTTTTTTTTTTAAAGGGAAAGAAGAATTCGCATATGGTTAATTAAAAGCATTATATTGCTCCATTGAGATTCGGTTGGACAGTTGTATTTAGATGAACAAAAGTAATGCAGAAAATGACTATGGTATCTATAGTAACAGAATATGAATGTGATGTTTGACAGTATTAGGCAACTGAATAAAACATTTTGAATTTTTTTTTGTATTTTTATGTTTTCAACTTAATCCTGATAGAGATGATAGCATTTACCTTCTCTGTTGCAAGAATTGTTTTCTGTAAAACCTAACATATCTGATGAAAATTCCTTCACCTTCTGAGTTAAGAACACAGTCTGGCAGGCCACTTCATCCACTTTGTACATGTGCACTTTTAATGCTGTGCACCTGATAGAAATGTGCATGAATCTGTCTAATGGAGCTCTTTCTATAAGCCTTTTGTAAGCAAGGATTATATTAATCACAGTTGAAAAAAGGAAACAGAAACAAAAGTAACTTAATGTTGGAGGAGAGCAAAGGATGACTTTTGACCAACTATGTAAGATCTATTTACTACAAAAGCAGTTATTAGCTGCATAAACATTCGTATCAGGTAAAACTCTAGCAGCATAATTGCAAATCTTGCACCTCTATAACACAACATTTTAATTCCTGATATAAATACTCTGGGTACATTACAGAACACAATGAATGAAACTCCTTTGAATATTTTATAAGTTGTTGATAGAACTAGAAAACTCCATTTTAAATAAAGGGTTGATGCCACATCAAATCATTGACTAGAGAGGATTAAATAATTTAATAGATGATTTAATTTATTTTTTCTTTTTGTAAATAACTAATAGCAGCTTATGATTTCCTTTAATTTGTTGTTTGAAATTATTTGCTTCACTTTTACTAATAATTCTTGGTCTGTAGATTGTTTGCAAGCAGGTTGTTGTGAGTATTTGAATATTTTAAATTTGAGCTCTGAAATTTTAATTGGACTCACAGATCACATACTAGTGTTTCTCTGTAATGAATGAATGAGCATAACTTCTAAAATCAGGTTTCTGGTTTGAATACACAGTTTTACAAGTTTGATATTCATTTTAAAAGTTTGTGTGCACAAACTTAGTTACAGACAGAGTAATTTGTCATGAAACCTTGAATTCTAAAATAATGCTCAAAACACACTTTAAAAAATTATAATTAAAACAGACTTGATTTAATCAGATAGCAGGTGTAAGAGTGACAACTAAAGAAATTTGATTATAAGTGGCTCTCAGAAGCATGTTAAGCAACTGATAGCTAGCTAGAAGTGCTTCATTTATGCAGAGTTTATGTAAATTAGAGTGTAATCAGCTACACACTTGCATTTTCCTAACAGGCCCCAATTAACCCCCCACACATGCCTTTTCCATTCCTACCACAACATTTTTTGGATAAATAGGCTAGAACTTTAACACTCTTTAATTGAGAGACTTCCAAAATGTGGAAGTCTCTCTCTCACTTAGGGTATTCAGAGCACTTGCTGGTGGTCTGTAGAGAGCTTGCTCTCCTCGTAGAGAGTGTTAAATCACATTAATATGTATTTTAGCTATATTTTAAATATTTTCCAGATATTACTTTTAGACATAACCAACTGTTGTAGTTGCCAAAAGGATGTTATCTGATCACAAATGATGGGAGGTGATCCATATGATTTCAATGGGAGGGAGGTGCATACAATGCAATCTCTCTATTAAGAACCAATGCACCTTACTAAAGAGTTTGAGGACCCCTACTTTAAACAATGAAATAACTTTAGACCATGGAATAGAATCATAGAACTGGAAGGGACCTCGAGAGGTCATCTAGTCCAATCCCCTGCACTCATGGCAGGACGAAGTATTATCTAGACCATCCCTGACAGGTGTTTGTCCAAACTGCTCTTAAAAATCGCTAATGATGGAGATTCCACAACCTTCCTAGGCAATTTATTCCAGTGCTTAACCACTCTGACAGGAAGTTTTTCCTAATGTCCAACCTAAACCGCCCTTGCTGCAATTTAAGCCCATTGCTTCTTGTCCTATCTTCAGAAGTTAAGAACAACAATTTTTCTTCCTCCTCCTTGTAACAACCTTTTATGAACTTGAAAACTTATCATGTCCCCTCTCAGTCTTCTCTTTTCTGGACTAAACAAACCCAGTTTTTTCAATCTTCCCTCATAGGTCATGTTTTCTAGACCTTCAATCATTTTTGTTGCTCTTCTCTGGACTTCTCCAGTTTGTCCACATCTTTCCTGAAATGTGGCACACAGAACTGGACACAATACCCCAGTTGAGGCCTAATCAGTGTGGAGTAGAACGGAAGAATTACTTCTCGTGTCTTGCTTACAATACTCCTGCTAATACATCTATAGCGAAGCAACAACTCACTGGTGCAGTGCCTCCTGGTGGTCATCCAGGGAATTAGCTTTTCCAGCCGTGGAGTACTCTCTGCCGGCCGGTATCCCCACAGAAATCCCAGAATGATGATTGCTTTTTTTGCAACAGTGTTACACTGTTGACTCATATTTAGCTTGTGATCCACTATGATGCCCAGATCCATTTCTGCAGTACTCCTTCCTAGGCAGTCATTTCTCATTTTGTATGAGAAGAAAACATTTTTTTTTGGTTTAATTATCCAAAATAGAATGAAGACAGTGATACCTGCTGGGCAAATATGATGGCCTTTTTTTATAACATATTTAATACAACTTCCTGAGAGGCTACCAAAATTGTTACTGCAAAAGTACCTTCTCCCTTTTTAACATGTGACTTTCTGAAGAGCATATAATCAAATTCCATCAGACAATCCAGTCCAAGATGCTGGCTTTGCTGTTACCATAATGGTAACTGGATCACTCTTGTCTGTCCACTAAGAGCTGCATGTCCATAAGTCTTCATAGAATAATTTTCCTCAGTATCTCACTAGAAGCTCACTTGGGCTCTATCAAAGTAATTCCAATGTTTTAGACTTGCTTGATCTTTCTGAGAGCCTTGGCCTATGCAGTAATTATGCTGTAAGAGTGAAAAATAGTAAACCTTTTATCTGTTTATATCATATCAGTTACCGCAGTATTGACACTATATATCTTGCCTAGTAGAAACAGCACCTTCCTGCAGCTATTGACTAAAATTCCTCTTTCACTCTAAAATCTATTAGTTATCATTGGGATGGTTTTGTGGGGAGCAAACTATTCAAGTGTGGCCTGTTACGTGACTACTGGACCAGTAATTAAAACTTATTTTTGTGCTGTTCTTTCAGGTTGAAATCAGTCCACTGGAAAATGCAATAGAAACTATGCAGTTAACAAATGATAAGATCAATAATATGGTTCAACAACATTTGAGTGATGCAGACCTACCTATTAACCCCCTTTCTATGCTACTTAATGGCATTGTGGATCCTGCAGTCATGGGAGGATTCACAAACTATGAAAAGGTATGTTCAAAATTAGCTTTGTTTGGTCATGGAATCTAATCAAGTGTGTGTGGTGTGTACGGGTGCATGAGTGTAAACATGCATTATAGGTCAGTTTTCGAATTTTCCACGTCTCAAGTATATTATAAATGAGTGATATTTATAAAGGAATTCTGTGAGTTGAAGAAAGAGAAACAACTATAAGGATTGTTAACAGTGAGGGTTATTAACCATTGGACCAATTTCCCAAGAGGTGTGGTAGATTCCATCATTTGAAATCTTTAAATGAAGATTTGATAACTTTATAAAATTTATGCTTGTAGTTCAACTGAAATTTATTGGAGCTGATGCAGGTATTACTGGGTGAAATTCTGTGGCCTGTGTTATACAACTGGTCATACTAGATCAGGGGTCCCCAACGCGGTGCCCGTGGGCGCCATGGCTCCCACCGGGGCGTCTAAGTGTGCCCGCGTACTGGCCGGCGGACGAGCATCCGCCGAGAAGCAGCAGCATCCAGATGCGTCGCCGCCTATTGACGTTGCCACTTGTCGGCGGCATTTCAGCAGATGCTCGTCCACTGCCATGGTCCTCCGTGGCTCGTCGTCTGGCACCCGCCAGACGAAAGAGGTTGGGGACACTGTACTAGATGATCAAGTAGTCTCTTCCTGCCTTAACATCTATGAATTAAAGGTAATTGGGATTAATTTAGTGAAAGTGCATTATTATATATTAGTTAATATACAGTCCATCCCAAATATATTTGAATGACTTCAGCTGCTTATCACAGACCTAGTCTGATAAATATGTACACATGAAAGCTTAGTATAAAAATGGTGAAAATGTAAAAACTATATTAGTGCCTATTCAAACTGCTGTACGTAGGCAATACGTTTTTGTAAGATAACTAACTGGGACATGTGGTTTGCACTTAGGGTGACCAGACAGCAAGTGTGAAAAATCGGGACGGGGGCGGGGGGGTAATAGGCACCTACATAAGACAAAGCCCCAAATATTGGGACTGTCCCTATAAAATCAGGACATCTGGTCACCCTATTTGCACTCTTTGAGCTGTTATCGGAAGAACTCTTCCAGCCTCCAATATCCCTGGCCTAGTTTACTACATAGGACACTTAAACCACTGGACACGGATATATAGTATTGCAGAAAGTAAATCATGTTGTTGTGCTCCAACGTGTATTGTAGACTTCAAAATTTAACTAATCTTCCTAGTGACCCCCAAAATTGCACTTGGGCACAATACCCATAATTGTAGATGAGGAGGACTAAGTAGAAACCTTCAGCAGTACTTCTTGCTTGACCAGAGGGTTCAGTGTTGAGCAACATATGATAATATTCCTCTCCCTGCACCAAAAGGATGGATATCATGATCTCTTGCACTCTTAAATTGTCTTCCATTGCTTTTAATTTTGAATTTGTAGGCATGTTATTATTGATATTTTGTAGCAAAATCTTTTGGTTTGATTCATTTTCCTTTGCTATAACTAAAAGCCTTTCTAGATAGTGAATGTTCAATCATTTTCTGAAATAACTGGTACTTTTCTGTTTTCATTAGGCTTTTTTTACTGAAAAATACATGCATGAGCATCCAGAAGATCACGAAAAGATAGAAAAACTAAAGGACCTCATAGCATGGCAGGTAAACTGTCTAATTCAAATCATGCCTGGGCCAAGTGGCATACAAAGGCAGCCTGCTGTCACTTGTGACAAAATTCAGGCATCAAACCATTCACCCTAGTGTATAAATTTCCGTGGCATTTAGACTGTCTTGGAACATGAACTAAAGTTCATCTTTTCAAATCTGACATAGTTTGTCATTTGATAATCCCATAAGTGACTGACATTATTAACCCACTTTTTTAATACATAGTCTCTCCTGTTACCAGTTTAGAGATACAAATACACTCTCACTTTCAAATGACTCAATATCTTATGATTGTGTTGGCCAATTCTGTTGTAAATTTAGTTGTAATTTTTTCTCATATAGCTCAGTGGTTTGAGCATTGGCCTGCTAAACCCAGGGTTATGAGTTCAATCCTTGAGGGGGCCACTTAGGGATCTGGGGCAAAATCAGTACTTGGTCCTGCTTGTGAAGGCAGGGAGCTGGACTCAATGACCTTTCGGCGTCCCTTCCAGTTCTAGGAGATGATAATATATGGAGATATACCTATTATTTTATTATTATATGCTAAATTAATAAAGAATTACAATAAAAACTAAGTTAAGAGTATTAAGGCCTTACAGTTTAAGAACTCCGAATTTAAGTGCCTAGGTTACATATTCAACCATAAGTCTGTCCCCTTATGCAAATGCTTTATAATGTTGTCTGTTTACATGATCACATATTGTTTCTCCAAATAAGATATATAACTGTTTTTTTCCACAACCACAGATGTGCATATGTACCATCTTGTAGTAGTGTATACTGTGTATGACAGATAGTCAATTAAAGTCATGTATACACAAAATGCATATGAGGCAAGAGTTTCTGCAAAGCCTTTGCCTCATTCCCAGCACACCTTACACACACACACCACAATTGTGTGTGTGTAGATATATATATTACAGTTACATAATATATGTATTACTATATATACACACACAGACGATACATTATATATTATGATATGTATGTATATATGGTGGAACTCTACAATGCCTTTTTTACAATCACTGTTCATAGAAGAAACATACTTTAAATAACTTAAGAGGTGTCACAGATATTTGTAGTGAACCAGAAATAGAACCCAGATCTCCCAAGTCCCGTGCCTTAAACATAGAACCATCCTTCCTCTGTGAAGATCTGCATTTATGTCTTCCAAAGAATATATTTTGGGAAAAACAGGAAACCACATTCTAGCTGTATTGTAAGGCTATACTCTGATATTTTTCCATTGGCCTCTGAATAATTTTATGATAAAAATCCACAGATGTGACTAGAAATGTTTTTACCCTGAAAAAAGTATTATAGTGTTTTATATTCAATTCTGTCTTAATTTAAATTATTCCATTTATAATATCTAGAGGATTCAATTTTAGATGTAGTAGAAACCAAAGATATAATACACAAAAATCCTTGGAAGGCCATAAAACTATTGCAGAACAAACACTAGTTTGGTCTGCAAAAGTTCTATTGATTTTTGTTGTTGTTGTTGTTCCCCTGTAAGGTTTTACAGCAGATTGGATTTTAGGGACTTCAGATTCTAGAGAGGAAAATAATTTATCCCAAGAGAGTAACTTCATGTCAGCACTGTCATTACCCCTAATGACCCTATTAAAAATGAATTGTATTGGTGCTCATGAACACACTTTACCCCAAAAGACAATCATCCTGCTGGCAACACGGATACAAGAATAAACACTGGAAAATGCATTATTTAAAATCTGTAAATTTTGTTTTGTCAACATGTTTAAAAATACACACAGCTTTCTTGTCACTAGTTTAGTTCCAAGTGTGATAGAAGCTAAGCAATTTAAAGACAAGAGCTTAATACAAACAAATATTTTTCTGAAACTGCCACCAGTAAGTGATAAAAATCAAAAAGCAAAAGGAATAATTTTGAAACTACCTGATATAAAATTAGAGTGTTTATGATTCCTAAAACATTTCTGAAAACTTTTTCAAATAGCGTAACTTCATAGAAAAGGTGGCAGGTTAAAGAAAACTTTTAAACTGTATTTCACATAAGGAACAAGATGGCGCAGGGGACTGGAGAGAGATACAGTATAGAGCCTTTATCCATTAAATCACTGTTTTGACTTCATCTCCAGCTCAGCAGTTGGTATCTGTTGGCCAATATGAAACACAGTAAGTTGGCAGTCTCAGTCCAATTCCTAATAAATAGGTTTCTGTATCTCAACTGAGCATATTATAGGTGCTCAGAGATTTGATATCTCAATATAGATCATTGTGTTAATAAAACATTATGATATTGAATGTTGCCAATTACCTACATGACTATTTTGTTTGTATTGTTGCACCCCTTCACTTTCCCTTTGTCTCATTTGTCTTTTGGAAAACAACCTCTTCAGGGTAGGGCTAGTGCCTTCTATTTGGAAAGTGAAAAATAAAACGTGTATTTGGAATAGAATGCTTTTTTTTAATTGTATATTCTTATTTTAAAATATAAGTATTGGCAGTAAGATGATCTTCTTATGCAGTAACTTGTATGCATGGGCACCACTGGAAACAAGTAATTGGTAATAATCTTTAATTGATACTCTTTAGTTGAAGGGTAATCTTTGTTGAGAGAGAGGCCAAAGATTAAGACCTCATTCCTGGGCACCTTCTAGGCCAGTGGTCTCCAACCTATTTACACACAAGATCACTTTTTGAATTTAAGTGCAACCCAGGATCTACCCGCCCTTTCCCCGAGGCCCCACCCCCCTCACTCCATCCCCCCTCCCTCCGTCTCTCGGTCTCCCCACCCTCACTCACATTCACCGGGCTGGGGCAGGGGGTTGGGGTTCGGGCTCTGGGCTGGGGCCGAGGGGTTCAGAGTGTAGGAGGGGGCTCCAGGCTGAGCCTGGGGCAGAGGGTTGGGGTGCAGGAGGGAGTATGGGGTGCTGGCTCTGGGAAGGGGGTCAGGGCTGCGGCATGGGGTTGAGGTGCAGGAGGGGTTTCGGGGTATAAGAGGGGTTGCGGGGTGCTGGCTCTGGGAGGGGGCTCGGGGTTGGGGTGCAGGCTCCCGCTGGGTGGTACTTACCTTGGGTGGCTCCCTGATGGTGACGCAGCAGGGCTAAGGCAGGCTCCCTGCCTTCCCCAAACCCATGCCACTCCCGGAAGGGGCCAACGCGCCCCTGCAGTCCCTGTGGGGGGCAGGGGGCACGTGGCTCCATGCGCTGCCTCTCTCTGCAGGCACCACCCCTGCAGCTCCCATTGGCCGCAGTTCCCTGTTCCCAGCCAATGGGAGCTGCGGGGGTGGTGCTTGCAGGCAGGAGCAGCGCACGGAGACCCCTGCCCCCCTCCCCGCTACACCACCAGACTTTTAGTGGCCAGAGATCGTGATCAACTGAGAGAGTCTCCAGGACAACCAGTTGATCATGATCTACAGGTTGGTGACCACTTTTCTAGGCTCACTCTCAAATTTGGCATGCAGATTGGCACTATTCTCTGGAGAGACCCCTACAGAACAAGGTGGAAGTACAGAGAAATGGAGCAATGTGTGGGAAAATTCAGTGTTGCATCCTATGCTTTACTTAAATTGTGGATGAGAACTTCATTTTTCAGTGCTTCCATGTAGTCTGGTGCCTTCTGTTAATGTGTACTTCAAGCTACTACACTAAATTAGTACTGTGTAAAACAGTCACAACAAAATTCAAAAACATCCAAACTTCGGGTGTTTGAACATTATTTTAAATTCATGAAAATCCTATGAAATGTCATGGTATTTCTCTCATGGGAAATGATTGTGCTGCTTAATTGCCTATATTCTAGATTTTAAATCTATTGTATTCATTTTAGGGGTTTATTTTTGTCTAATTTTGTGCCTTTTCACTTCCTAGAAAAATCAGATCCTGTAGTTTTATTTGACAGTATCATTTAGATCTGAAATGGGCTGTTTCATCAGCACATGACAGTAATGAAGTTCATCTCAGTGCAATAGTCACTCAACTTCTAGCCATTATACTTAGAGCACACCAAGACTACCACAGAGCACAAAGAATTATTTCTGTATCTTTCCCATACCAGTGAAAGTGAATTACAGCATACAACATGAAAAGTTAAAAAATAATCCCTTTCATGTAAAATTTTCCATTTCATAGGTGCTCAATTATTTTAAAAAATAGAATTGGTGTGATTTTACTGGTAGCTTTTTGTTTAAACAAAAACCCAGAACCCCTATCTGTAGCACATCATGGTATTAAGAAGTAATGGCAGCTAGAGCCATGATAAACTTTAAGATAGAGGATAAGGAAAAATATATTATGGCATAAATAATATATGGATACATTATGGGGTTTTGTGTGTTTGTTTTTGTTTCTTCCCCCCACCCTATCTTTAATGTTCAGGTATGCATTTATTTTCTCATTTATTACATTACAATAAGACCACTTATCTAAAGCTCTGGCACCCTTCACAATCTTTTAAAATATGCCAATAAATAAACCGATCATTACTCCAAGGTCAAATAACTTAGCAACAACATAACATTCAATTAATCCCTGCCCCGTTGCCTTACACACACACACACACACACACACACACACACACCTTATCAAAATTCTACACCACTGCTAACCAGACTTACCTGTCTCCTTTTGGGTGAGGGAGAAAAGATGGTCCTTGCAGCATTAGGATTTGGGGCACTGTAGTGGGTCAGTTTCTCTTGGAAGAGAAATTGAAGACAAAATGTACACATTTTGAAAAGAGGTGGTCAAAACTGCACAAAGCAATTCCACTTTCAGAAACCCAAATTAAAACACCATCAAGTTCTTAAATTCAGCCCTGTTCATCTAAGAAACAGCTCTGTCTTCCTTGTTTCCTTGCTCTCAAGCATATCTGGTCTTCTCCTCTGTCTGTGCCCTGAGAATTTTGCTTAGCAAACCCTTTAATCCAATGTCATTAAGCTCTGGGTGCATGGTGCTCATGTTCTCAAAACTAACCTGGACTATTTCAGACAGGCTTGGCCACTAATCTTCCTTGTTCAGCTGCTCTTGAACATCAAGGAACTTCACACAGGTTTGACTATATCCATGGTCCACTGGAGCCTGCTCATCTGCTAGTCTCCATCATAACTAAAGAGCGTGCTTAACCCATACAGTCTTCTTAATGACCATCCAGTTGCTGTTGCTATAGCCAGTCCTATTGAGGTCCCTTGGGCCAGGCCTCTGTTTAACTTTCTGTGCAGAGCTTCATATCACACATTTATATCAAGAATTCATAATACATTTCATTAACACCTCTGTCATAACAGGGGAGAGTTTAGCCCTATTGAATTCTGCTGCACAGAGCCAGCTAAATGTATGTGCTCAGCTTGACTCTGCAGTCATGGAAACGGATGTAGGTTGGGAAATAGGATGCTGCCCCTCAGGAGTTGCAGCTGATCCTGCTCAATTCCCAAAGGAAGAAGGAACAAACTCTGTTCTTCCAGGCCCCTGGGGATAGCACCAGGAGGTCCTGCTGAGCTTCCTCAATTTTGTGGGGTTGGGAGCAGATCTCTGAGGTGCTCTCTGGCTGGGGGCAAGTCAGCTGTAAAGAAGCCACATACTCCAAACAGCAATTCGGGCTGGTTTCTCCAAATTAGAGATGTCAGCACAAGAGGATGGTTCTGTTGGTGCCAAAGGTCTCTTCCTCTCTCCCTGTATGCAGAGCTGCTGCAGAGGCACTGTATATCCCCTTTTCTGCCAGCCTAATTGTTCTCAGGATTGGTCAAGCTGATGCAGAGCTCTCATTAATGTATCTCATTTATTGTTTTATTTGTACATCTATTTAAAAAAAAAAAAGGAGCACCCATCTCTTCCTTTAGATGCTCCTTGACAATCCTTCAAAACACATCAATAAAATAGACCCTGTTGTAACTCTTCCCCCACCAACATATGCACTGCAAACATAGCCCTGCTGCAAAAATGTATAAATTTTAAGATATGTTGCCCAAGTCTTCCCATTCCTTTATAGCGAGGAAAAACAAATGAGCCAATGCATTCTTTACTTGGCCCTATGGAAACTGAGATTCATATGCTGTAGACAGAAAATTAGGAACAAGACCATCTGAAAGTTTGATTTTTTGCTACTGAGTACAAATTCATATGGATTATAAATAAAAGTGGATAGAGTAGAAATATTGTGGGTTTTTTTGAAGAGTGCCAAGAGAAGCAACAGCTGTGTGCTGTTAAATGGCACAAAATGGATTTTATTCATGGATTCATCTTGATAAGATTTCTTAAATTTGTTCACATGTAATTTAATTGTGTACTTCTTATCCTCCTTACTAATAAGTCTGCTCATTTAGATTGCTGATCCATCATATTAGAAAAATCTGTTTTTAATCAGTATTACAGTTTAATTATGAATTATTAAGGGGAAATCTCTTAGCTTGATTGCTGCAAAGAATATCTGACTCAGAACCGGAGCACTGTGTAGGTTTGAGCTGATCTGGAAAAGGAAATATTTTTCTTAAACACGAGATAGAACTACTAGCAGATTCTTTTATGTTGCTGTGGGAATGAAAATGTCTCTCTTAAAACATTTTAAAAGGTCAGGTACACCTCCACACTATGAACTAATTATATAACCTTGTGTTGGCACGGATATTTTGTGACAGCAGCCTTGCAGATAAATTATTATTTTCAGTTATAAAAGAGAATTAATTTATTCTCCCTCCTCCCCCCCCCCACCTCACTCTCTACTAAAAATCATTGAAAACCAATTTATGATAAAAAAATATTGTCAATTTTGGTATGTAGAGCTGTATGTTTTCTTAAATATGTTGTGTACAATATCTAAGATATTTTTTCATGATAACACAGGGTTTCATAAATAGCATGTGTTAAACAGAAATGGATATGAAGATTGTTTTTCTCTGCTGTTTATTCCCATGAAATCTGGTGGGGCTGATATTAATAGTCTAGCTCAGCGATACTCAGACTCAGGCTCGCAAGTGGCTCTTTAATGTGTCTCCTGCAGCTCTTTTTAGCACATGATATTAAAACACTGATTTATTTATTAACCAATCAGGATGCTTTTAATATGTTATTAACCAATTGTAGAGGATAAAATAATAATACTTGGTCAGTCATTTTGCTGTGAGAATTTATATATATATATATCTCTAAATATTTCCCCTATCATACTGTTTAAATATGAATATATAGTACTATAGTAAATGAAACAATGAATTCACACTACTGTGGCTCTTTTGGGTAATGTTGATCGCTAATTTGGCTCCTGAACCACTGAGGTCTGAGTATCACTGGTCTAGCTTTTGAGTCAAATTTAAAGTGCAGTATGTTTGAGGGTTTTTTAAACATAAGTAAAGGGGTATTTGTTCAACCTGATAAATTTAGCTGTACCTTATAATTGCTGGGCAGAATTATGCATACGTTAATTTTAAATGACTATGAGCAACGCAGAGTGAAAATGAAATCATATATAGTACAAAAAAATCACCATGTTCTGCTTTAGTTGCTATTAGTATTCCATAAAAATACTTACGGTGTAGGTAGAGCCTCCCTTGCTCTACTCCCTTTCATGAGAGAAGACCAGAAAATTCATTGTCATCTAATTGTCTTCTTTAGATTCCATTCCTGGCAGAAGGTATCCGAATTCATGGAGAGAAAGTAACTGAAGCACTAAGGCCATTTCATGAGAGAATGGAGGCCTGTTTTAAGCAGCTTAAAGAAAAAGTGGAAAAGCAATACGGTATCAGAACAATTGTAAGTTGTCTCCAAACCTGACATTTAAAAAAGAATCTGTTTTTAGAATTGCTGTAATTCACATTTCAGTGATTAAATGAATATATAGAAAAAACAGTTTTAATAGAGGGTGACTAAGAATCTTAAGGGAGTATGTGGTTTTTCATTTTGTTTTGGTGTTGTGGTACTCGTGGATTTAAACTTATTTTTAGACAGAGGTTTATTTCTCTTAACGTCCCTAAAATGTTCCACGTGGGTAGCCACACAAAAGTATAGTGACTTGCCTTGTGTTGCACATCAAATGAGTATCTCTCCTGAGATTAGAATATAATATCTTTCTAGTTTCTAGATTTTTGTCCTGTACTCTATGCCTATCCAGAAGGTTGTCTTCTGAAGCATAGTTATATATCAGTGGCTTCAACAGGTATCTTTGTCTCTGGACTAGCAATTGTAGTTTAGCGCATGGGGCCCAGTTAAAGACTTCACTTAAATTGTCAGTGCTTAGGAGAAGTGACCAAAATGTCCTAAAAAACATTCAAAAACCCTTATCAACATGAGTCCACAGCATAAAAGACTTACCCAAAAATATCAGGTTCTGTCCATTGGAAGTCAAGATAGTCCCTCAAAGTGTTCAGGTTTTAAGGATCTTTTACATAGGTTACAATCTCTAGGAGGTTCTGACATCTTTGAAGCATTCATTCTTTGAAGTCAGAGGTTCATATCAAGGAATATCACAGAGTATCATCACTTCCAAAGCTAGTTCTAAGGCTGTTTTAAATGTTTTTTTTTTTCAATAAGTCAGGGTCCTGTATCTGCAGATTCTCAGCAATGACTTGCTGCTCTTAAGTACAAACTACATCCTTGACCTTACTTGTAAATCTCCTGCTACTTTAACTCCAAACTGTAGTTCAGGAGACCAGGGGAGGTAGATTGTTCTCTGTGGATGGTCCTCAGTACTGTAATTTGCACTCTCCCAACATGAACAAATCATTTTTGGCCACCCTTCTGCCTCAGCTTCAAGATGCAGCCAGAAATTTTGAAAGTCCCCTTACCCTTTGAACCTTGTTGATTAAAGGCGGGTTAGTTAGTAGAGAGATTTTCTTTTGGTTTAAGACTGAGTGTTACTGCTTAGTGCGGGGAGCGTTTCAAGTGCTGGCTCTTGTAGCCTGCACGTAGGTTCTTAATTGAGAATGTATTTTGAAAGCCATAAGTGCACTTGGAGATTATGCAAAGCAGGCACGTGTTTTATAAATACATTTTAAAAATTCAGTAACATACAAGTAAAGAGTTAGAGTTAACCTTAGGTCTGATTGTGCTGGGATTTGTGTTCTGAAAGTATGTTGAAGGCTTCTGTTCCAACTCTTATGCCTTGTATATTAGTAGCATTGACAGGCTCAGAATCAAAACCTCCATCACTGTTATAAGTATTCTTTAACCTTGTTGTAGGTCTTGGTTAGATTTGTAATGAAAAAGAAACTTACATCCACTGTACACTCTTTCCCCATTGTTACTGTTAAAAAAAAAACCAAAATAAATACATGAATGTATTCAGTGTTTATCAGAAATATAAGGGAATCTATACCAGTGAGTGAATAAACTCAGATTTTGTCTACTTCTTTATGTTGACCTGCATTGTTCATCTTGGTCCCAAATGGCTAACTAGATTTCAAGCTGTAGTAATCACAGAAATGGCTCATGAAAAATGAAATTAAGGGAGAATCTACTTAACAATTTGATAAGATGTGACCTTGTAGCAAAATATGATTTGTCTCCAAGAAGGCAAATATCAGAAATTGCTTAAGAGAGTAAATATTTTCCCAGAAATTGTAAAGAATAATTTCAAGCAAGAGAAAATATACACTAATAATTGAAACTTTCAGAAAATCCCACCCCCCCAAAAGCAATATATTTGTAATGTTGCACAAGTGCATTTCCTATCAACAAGACCATTAAAAATAAAGAAAATCGCCAGTTGAAGAAACATTAACTACTACATTGTTCTGCAGCCAGTCCAGCTTGCCAATGTATGCTCCTGGTTCCCAAGCTGCCTGGCTACAATCTGTACTCCAACTCTGGCTTCCTGCCTAGTTCTGTGGCATACTGTAGGAAGCATGCATGGTAATCCAGCTAACTCCCCATTAGAAGGAAAGCTGATGAGCAAGACACAGCAGCAGACGGGTCCCGGCAGGGCAAGGAGACCAAATAAAATATGGAATGCCTGGCTGCAGCAGAATGGCAAATTCCATGGTGAAATGTTGACTTCTGTGGAGCTTGGAAAAATGCCAGATTCCACAGTGACCCTGTGATGGCGTGGACTCACCACTGCTGGCGCCTCCTGCTGGTTGCTCCAGGAATTAGTTCAGTCCTAGCTGTGCAGCTCCCTCAGCAGGTGGTGTCCCACCCATTGCCTGCTCTGCTGTGCTGTCTGGGACCCGCATTGCTCCCTGGTTTGCGGCGTCCTCTTCTGGATACAGCCCTCCAGCTGTGCCCCACCAGTTCTCTCCCCTTCCGGGGGTAATGGCAGTCCTTCGGCTTGCACCTGCCCCAATGGCCAAACACAACTCAAAGTCTAGCCCCTCACCTCAGGGCAAGTTGCAGTCTATATCAGCCACATTCCTCCGCAGCCAGGTGCAGTGCAAGGGGGGGACCCAGGCCCACCCACTACTCTGGGTCCCAACCCAGGGACCCTCTAGTGGCAGCCTCTCTCTGCCCTCCTTCTCACCCCTTGTCCGACTATCTTCCCTGGGCCACTTCCCCTTTGGCTCCTTGCACCTTCTTGGGCCTTCTAGTCAGGGGCTGCAGTCTGGCAGGTCACAGGCAGAAGCCCTCTCTCTGCTAACCCTGAGCCAGCCCAGCACTGCTCTGTCCAAAGTGTTACCTCCTTACCTCAGGAGCCAGTCCTTCTCCCTTGCTAGTCAGAGAGAGACTGCCCTCTCCTTTGCTAGGCAGCCTTTATATAGGGCCCAGCCTGGCCCTGATTGGCTGCCTCTTTCTTTGCCCTGATTGGCTCTCCACAGGCCTTTGCTGACTGTTCCAGCCCTTTTTCTCATGCAGTGGGGCAGCCGCCCCGCTACACACCCCATTTGGGATGATTGGGGGCAGTTCATGTGAGTTATTGTATCAGGCAGTCTGCATACTTAGACAGAAGTCACTGCAGTGGTTTACATTTGGTTCACGTTTTGAAGGTTATCTCTGCAACCATAAGGGCTAGAGCCATAATTATTTAAAAATGAAAATTCTGAATTTGGAGCATGATTCTGCAGGATTGGGTGAATTCCAGAACTGCAGAATCACAGAATAAACAGGGCTCCTGCTATGCCATTTTTCAACTTTTTATGGACCTTTAAGGTAGGATTAATCAGACAGGAGCTCCCAACAGGTCTGAGATTTTGGGTAGCCCTTACCAGAGGCAGCACATAATGTGTTTCATTAATCCCACCCCACTGCACAGTGCACACCCGTGAAAGAACTAGCCACCGTCTAGTCCTTCGTGAATAGTGATTGAAACACTAATAGGAAAATTTTGCAAAGGAGTCTGTTAAAGGTTAATTCTAGGGTGATTCCTAGAAAAAGCAGCCTGACATTATGTCCCTTGTATGAAAAAGACAAATTATAATTCATGGAATATGTAATATAAACATATTATATCCAAGAGTCAGTGCACCAAATTCTGATTGCAGTTACAATGAATGTACAGCACTGTGTGTCCAGTGATGGTGCTACTCCAGATTGACACTTGTGTAACTGGGATCAGGATCTGGCCCTGAATTTCTGTTATTACTGGGGATCACACAGGTGTTTAGATGATTGTTTATTTTAAACACACTACGTCAGAATCTTTGCTGTGCCAGATTTCCACTGGGCACAGTAGAATGGGACAACAGGGATCTGGTTATAGCTCTCTGATTCTTTGATCAGTGCCAGTGTAGCTTAGAGCATCCTGGGCCAGGTGCCAACAGTCCCCAAGAGAACAGATGCCAGCTGAAGATAGCAAGACTACAGCACACGCTAGCCACACCAACTCTCTGCCCCGACTAAACATCCTACTCTGGGAGTCTGTGAGATGAGTGGCATGAGAGCCAGTGCACCAGCGGAGCAGAATGGGCTAATGAATTTGACTGACAGCCCTGACTTCAGAAACTCATTTTCAGATCCTTCTATAGTGGTGATATTTTTAAGGTAATGACATATTTAGAGAAGAGAGAAATCCTATCTGAAGCTTACCAGCCTTGATAGTGTCCTTGTAAATGTTTTTCCCTTTATGGTCCTTAAATCCCTGCTTGATATGTTTGATGCACTGTGCCTCTAAATAGTAATTTATTCCCAAGAAGAAACGAGATATTGCCATTAACTATACTTATGTGTCACTTGCTTCAGTCATAAACATTAACACTGTCAAAGAGACGACTGGAAAGTCAGACCCAGTTGGTGTTATCTTGCCAGTGTCACTCTGATCCGCTACTAAGAATTGATGGAATTTTATCACTTCTGTCTTTCTTGTACAATGCCAACTTAGCAGTAGTTGACAGCGTGGAAAAGCTACCTGTGACTAAACAGCAGGAGATTCTTATTTTTGTCTGAAAGAGTTCAATTATTTTATGCATATATCAGTTATTAATGACTAACAAAGCTTGTATAAATATTCAGAACTATAAAAGAGCATCTGCATAAAAAACAATGTTTAAATATTTCCTTCTCAACCTAGATGTCACTCTGTGAAAGGGTTCTGTTAACAGCAATACCATATTTGTGGTTTTTTAAAACTTTGGCTCATTATTGCTGTTACTCAGTCCTGGACTACACTAGGGTACCAGTAGCATGCACGTGCACCCCAAGTCGGAGGAAACTGTAGGTGCTTCAACAGCTAGGCGTTGTAGGTGCTAGTAGCCCTGGTGAGTCCCAGTAACCATTCAGACATATGGCTAAGGGAAAGGTTGTTTTTTGTGGAATTGGCAGGAAAGGGAAAGATTGCAAATACCCTAGGAAGAGAGGCTTAATAGTTACAGTGCAAAGTGGGCAATAACAGTAAATGTTTCAGTCCCTAGGGAGCAGTCCAATTGAGAATTGGGGCTCTTCAGCCCTACTAGTGCCTGAGGTGCCCTCACCAGTCCAGTCTCTGCTCAAAGCAAATAGGACCTTGCAGGTTTCCAAGCCAGGCTCAGTTAGTGTCTATCATTGGGGCCCCTCTGCAATAGCTCCCTGCCAACCACTGCTGCTCCCCCATAAATCCCACACAAGCTGCACCCAGGTGTAATGTCTGGGAGTCACAGCCTCTTCCACAGGTGGCTCTCCATATTGTTCCTGTTTTCAACTTCTCTCCAGCTTCCTGTTTCCATGTGGCCACTGTTTCAGCTGACCTCAGCTCCTGGCTTCCCTGCGGCCACTGCTTCCAACCACAGCCCAGCCACTATCTGGTTCAGGGCCTTTCCCCTTACCTGGCCAGAAGAATGGGAAGTGCAGTGGGTGAAGAGAAGTTATAGTCCCCTGCCTTGCAGAGCCATACCTGTGTTTAAAATTAAGCATATGCTTAAGTACTTTCTTGAATCAGGGCCTAACTGTTTGCTTTTTCTCCTTAAATATATCTAGTAACAGTATCTGTGTGATTATAGATTATTTGTAACTGAAATAGCATAGAATTCTAAGAGAAAAAGATGCTTTTAACCATTCAGCATTACATGATAATGACTCACAAATTTCAGGTTGTGTTCTAAAAGGAATAAGATTATATTTTTCTTTGTTGTAGCCCTCAAGTTTGGATGATAGACGAGGCAGTCGGCCAAGGTCTATGGTTAGATCATTCACAATGCCTTCATCTTCAAGACCTTTATCTGTTGCATCAGTATCATCTGTCTCATCGGACAGCACCCCTTCCAGACCTGGCTCTGATGGGTAAGTAAGGAATAACAATTAAGAGCTTGTAATTGTGGAAAAAGATTCAGCATGCAAATCCTTACTGGGTTGTGAGAATCCGTCAACACCTAAAAATCTCTTTAATTACAAATGTATAGTATAGTGCATGTGTTATCTTCATTCTTTGTTTTATAAAGTTATCAATATGAGCAACTAAAACTCAAGTACATTTCTTTTGAGCAAATTGTTTCTATACTGAAAGCATTTTCGGGTATGCATGTGGGGAGACATGGGTCTTACTAGAAATTTGGCATTTTAGAAAATTATTTCAGCAGTGATACTTACATCTCTCTAAAATAGACTACCACTGAGAAGAAAGCATCGTTTTTTAACAAATACTATCATTTCTTAAAAGAACCTTGTTTTTCTCAATGCTGATTTCAAGATACGCTATTTGATTTTTATTAGGGCTGTCGATTGATCGCAGTTAACTCGCACAATTAGCTCAAGAAATTAAATCGAAAATAAAAAATTAAATAGTGTTTAATTGCAGTTTAAATTGCACTGTTAAACAATAGAATACCAATTGAAACTTATTAAACATTTTGGATGTTTTTCTACATTTTCAAATATATTGATTTCAATTACATCAATGTGTTCAGTTACAACACAGAATACAAAGTGTACACTGCCCACTTTATATTATTTTTATTACAAATATTTGCATTATAAATATGATAAAAGAAATAGTATTTCTCAATTCACCTCATACAAGTACTATAGTGCAATCTCTTTATCATAAAAGCACAACTTAAAAATGTAGATTTTTTTTTGTTACATAACTACGCTCAAAAACAAAACAATGTAAAACTTTAGAGCCTACAAGTCCACTGAGTCCTACTTCTTGTGCAGCCAATCGCTAAGAGAAACAAGTTTGTTTACATTTATGGGAGATAATGCTGCCTGCTTCTTATTTACGTCACCTGAAAGTGAGAACAGACGTTCACATGGCACTTTTGTAGCCGGCATTGCAAGGTATTTACGTGCCAGATGTGCTAAACATTCATATGCCCCTTCATACTTTGTTCACCAGTTGTAGATTGGGATAAGGCAGGGTTTAGCTGCCAAAAAGTGAAGCTTTGTGGTAGGATTGCTCTTCATCAGCAGAAAATGACTTAAAAGAAAACTATATATCCATACAAGGCTAGTGGGGAAACTGGGTGTGTGCTGCCATCATAAAAGTGCCATTCTCTTTGTTTCTCACTCCTCACGTTACTTTTTCCATTTCTGCATATTTGGTTCTTATCTCTCCCCGTTCAAGCCTTTTACATTTTTGCCTCTCTTTCAGCTTTTTCCATTTTGCACCTCTACTCCAGCTCTGCCATTGTGCATACCATTTGGCAGGCTGTGTGTTTGTGGTGGGGGTGGGGTCCGCATGTTGCAGACAGTTTGTCTGGGATTACAGTTTTCCTTTGTTCTCTTTCTCCAGTCCGCTTCCTTTTTAATCCTGCTTCATAGAGGTTGTGCAATTCAGAAGAAAGCTCTATAATGCAAGTCATCTTCCTTGTGCAAGCTCTTTACACATGGAACTATTACAAAGAATTACAGTTAAAATTTTCTTTTATAGTCATGTAGGTTGGCCCTCCCCTTCCCCTGAAGTCAGCTCTATGTGTGAAGGCAATTGAGCCTGAACAGAAAAGTGAAACCAACAAGGCAGTTGTAATAAATATCACGATAACCTACTGGATACACTTCATCATCAGAAAAAAGAACTTAGTTTTGAAACTCACAATAGGGCCTGATCCAAGGCTCATTGAAATTAATGGCAGTTTCTCAATTTATTTTAATGGACATTGACTCAGGCTTATAGTGCCTTGGAAGGTTGAACATACCTATAGCGCAAAGACCTTTGTCTCACTTTTGCCAGGCTGTACATCCGTCATGTTCTGGGTTGCAATTCAGACCAGTGAGAGATTGTGTCACCACTTGTCCTGAGTGCCTTAAATGCTCTGCGCTGTAGCTCCTTGTCTGGACACTCCCAATAAACATACAGAAATGCACGGAGTGTCTGTGTGCTGTGCAACCCTGGTTCAGCGCTCTGACCCCAGCAGCCTGCCTACAAAACAACAGCCCCATCCTCATCTTGACCATCCTTGGTCACTAATTGCAGGGTGACCCCAACATGCCCCCAGTCCCTAATTTCCCCAAAACCATCTATCCTGAACTGTCCAGCCCTCTCCTGGAATAGTGAGACTTAATAATATCCGTTGGTCCTTTAAAGAGACAAAAGCACAGCAACTTGTTGCCTTAACTGAACTTAACTTTCCCCTCAATAGAAACACAACACTGGGTTGGTTTAGATTAAAAGTAAAACACGTTTATTAACTAAGAGAGGTTTTAAGTGAATTCAAGTACAAAGGATAAAGACAAAGTGGTTATAAGCAAATAAAAGGAAAATATGCTGTCTAGTGGCTAAGACTTAACTAAATAAGCTACAGCTTAGTACAAGGTAGAGTTCTTACCAATCTTTCTTCTTTCCATGATGGACTTTTAGTTAGGACCTTGGGCTTGTGCATTTTAGGAACATAATTCTAGCACATACCTATAACTTTTTGTACACACTCTGTACATATGTCATGCAAGACTATTAATGATCAGTGCGTTGTTAGTTTTCCAGTGATATCTTACATGATGCCTTTTAGATACAGATTATGACAAGAGAGTGTTAGGTGTAATGAGTATGTCAGGCCTGATGAGAGTTGTTGACACAGAATAGAGAACCACAAATGGGCCTTTGTGTCACAACCTCGCAGTGCCCTATCATTTAATCCAAATATTTGTAAGGGTGGTGTGGTGGGTGAAGTTATGTGAACACCTCTCAGAGTTTAACTCCAAACCCCTTATGGATTTCTGTCTGCATTTTGGTGCCATTTCCTTACCACATTCAGCTGCTTAATGCTCATGTGGGTAAATTGGGAGGTCTAGAAAGGTGCTTAATTTGTTTAGTTACACAGTTAATGCAGGCTTTTTTCTTGTAATAAAAGGGAAATAGATTTTTGGGGAAGTTGCTCATTACACTCCTAAAAGGCTATTCTGTATAGGTACCCTGCTGACTTCGAGTAAACCTAGAATGAGCTGTTACACTCCTCCATGGGGAGAACAAGTGAATATGGTTTTATTGGGTCTGCAATCTCATGAAAAATTACTTGAGGTTAAGTAGTAAAACTCACATAATTTCTCCAAACAGAGACTGGGGAATATTCTGTCACCACCTGCACCAATGCAATTTAATCAGTCTCATAAAGGTGGCACAGATGTTCAAGGTTGTGCCAAATTACCATTAAAATCAATTGAAAGATTCCTATGGACTTCAATGGGAGTTGGATTTTTATTTGTGTGAGAGGTGCAGCTAGGCCTATTAATCCACCAATGAACTGAGCCCCAGAAGTTTGGCCTTTCAGGAGACATGCTACTGCAAACAGTTCTACCCATGTGTTGGAGATCAAAATGTTTGAAGATTCTTTGACTTAGGAAAAAATGAGTCTTTTCAGAAGTCACTATTTTGAAAAATGCTTTTAATTGGAACAGTATTTTGGACATTTAATACAGCACCGATCGGAAACAAAATCAATATATAGTTATAAAAACATGCTTGAAAGGACACTTTTCTCTCAAACAGTGGTGACACCTAAAATTGCCTGATGTCTAAGAAGGTGAAAGTGTATGGTTTCCTGTAAGGTCCACACCAGACTGTTATTTTGGGCTCTTAAATTGTTTATAGGTATCAATATTAATACATGTAAATGTTGGTACTCACCAGTAATTATACACGTGTGTATTTATCAGCTGAATGTGAATAGGAAGTACCAGGTAACGGTAGGAAGCATGGATATTGGGAGAGGAGCATATTAAGGACAAGGGCCACAGGCACATGGAACTGGGCTGGGGGGCAGGGAGTAAGTATGGCGACAGTCTGGTCTGTTCATGGACGGCATTGAGTGGAACAGAGCTCTGCAGAGGGATGTCAGAGTGGATGATACCTCTGTGTGGGGGCCATTAAGTGAAATCGAGTGGGGGACATGAAAAATAACAGGGCTTTTCATTGAGAGTTGGAGGAGGCATATCATATCCATGCTTATTAAAGCCCTTGAAAATTTAACTAAACAAAAAATTTTAACTTAGAGGTAAGGTTGTTGAAGTGCAAATCCCATCAGTTCATTCTCTTAAAAAAAAAAAAATCACCAGTTAAGCTAACATTCATATTCACAACAAACTCAATCATACCCAAACAAAATAACACCGAAATGCACCCAGACTCCATAACTACAATACCAAACTTACTTATAATTCTAATGTACAACCAGGCACAATACAATCATCATCTAAGTTCTCAAAACGATACTCAAATGCAAAACCTTATCTCTGACTGCATGCTGACATTATATAGACTTAAAATTGTATGCATGTCTATCAATAATTATCTGAATCTGACTGAGGTTGGAGCAAAGTTTTCCATTTGAGTGATTTCAGGGAATTGGATATGTTTTTGTCAGTAGTTAAGGAATTATATATTAATTTGATATATCAGGCTTGATAGCATCCTGAAAGAAAAATAAGAAGGACGTTCAGAATTGTACTTTAAGACACTAGAAGTAAAAAATTCTTATTAAATATTTAATGTTTCCCATTGGAAAGTGAGATTCCCAAAGAATGCTTTAATGTACAAACAATAACCAGTGCTTGTTTTGCAGAAGTATTTTTCTTTAAGAATCATCTACACTATAAACTGTTCTGCATTTTAATCATAAATAGAGTTACAGAGAAATAGGTTACATTAGAGCATACAAAGTTGGATTAATATTAGTGGAGAAAGCTTTTGACTAAACAAATTAGATGATGAAAGACCTAAAGAAATTAGTAGAGCTGACCAGAACATGGAAATCCCTTCCCATGGAAAATTTCATGTTTTTGAAAAAAAAAAAATTGTCCTGAATTGGGATGTTAGGTCAAAAGCATTAAATGTCTCACGGAAAGGGATT